CCATATTCTGAACATTGGCTTATGGCTTGTTTCCGATCAGAATCAATAAAATGACATAAGCTTGTTCACGATGGGCGACGATGAGCTGATCGGCTAGAAGCAAAGCAAAACAAAACGCTGGGCCCGCTTGAGAAAGCGCCGAATGGCGATAATGGAAGCATTGGGCGTCATCATCTGCCGGTAAGAACACGGCTCTGTGTATGTGTGTGGTCGCTTGCCGGTGAGCACAGCCGGCGGCATCAACTGCGCAGTGCAAAATTGACAAAAATATGTACTATATACTATGTATGTACTAGGTATGTACATACCTACAAGTATATAGATACATTCGTGCGAGTATCTGTGCAAATTCTAAATAACAAATTCTGTGCCATTTTGTACACACACTCCCGTACACCCGTACACAACAACAACACACAAATTCAATTATGAGCAGAGCGCTACATTTCATAGATCTAAAATAAATGATGTGTGCCACCGCCGGGTGGTTGCTGGCTCTGTTTGACATTGAGATAAATAATGGCAGGTACACATCAGAGCTATATACTCGATACATATGCATGCAAGTGATTCACGTCTTAACCCATTCGGAACAGAGTCTCGCAAACCTTTTTTGGGGTTATCTCCACGTTCAATGCTGCTTTAAAAGCCACCATGACCGGGCTGTGGCTTAGGCCCTTACTGGCTGTATTCGCCAATAAACCTAGTTAGCTGGATAAGAGTTTCTCATATTTTTGGATTCTTTGACTTGAACTTTAAATTTACCAAACACGAAAAGAAGGTCGAACTGAGCTTACACTTTAAAATATTGGAATCAGATTTACAGTTCTTGGTATTCTATAAATACTATATATGTAAATACTTTTTATTTTCAACTAGCATCTAGCTCCTATACTTTCTGAGTCGCCAGCGTTCATACAAAAAGAGAGGGCTGCATTGATCCGTCTTTTCTCGGTACTACTGTCTACATAGATATATCACCCTGAAATTGCACGGGTGTTTCGAAAGGGACACACCTTTTTATTTTTAAGTTGCTGACAGCTGTTTCCATTCTCTTTTTTTCATTGCCGTTTATGGCCTTGTGTTATGGGAACATCTTAATGTGAATTTTTCCATTTTTACAATATCCGAAATTATTCAATAAAGAAGTTGGCAAATTTTGGTAATAGGAATATTTTAGCAGCCGAAACTTTTAGATAAAATAGCAGAAAATATTAAAAGAGGATCAAGAAAGCATGCACAGATGATGAACACGTCAAACAAATTAAGGAAATGCTCCAAAATCATCTAAGTTAAGTTAAGTTAAGTTAAGTTATCGGTGAGGTTGACTCCTCTGCCCTCTTAGGTCGCCTTAATTTTTCAGTTCCTTGTAGACCAACAAGGAATTATTTGCCGTTCATATTGGCTAGATGCACAACCGATTACGCTTTGCACAATCGTTTTCGGGTCATTTGCAGTAATTATAATGATCTTTCACACTTACTTTCGACAGAACTCTCTCTCTGTTCGGTAAAGATTATTCTTTATAATTATCTTCGGGAAAATCTCTGACCACTTCTGCTGTGAGTCGGGGCATAGCTAGCCGGACTGGCATTTAAATTTTCCCCCACCGGGTTGGAGATTTACCTCTTTACCTCTTTCTCTTTCTCTGTCTTTGTATCTCTCTTTCCCTCTTATTTTTTCTTTTTCCTCTTCCTCTTTCTACACCTTACTTTTTCTAATTAGTTCTTAAGTAGAATTAATTCTTCTCTTCTACTTGCTATTTGTTTAGTTTGTTAGGTCTATAATGTCTCTGACCACATTTGGCTGTGAATCGGGGCATAGCTGGCCAACTGGCAAATAAAATTCCCCCAACGTGTCGGAGGCATTAATAGACGTCATTGTATAGCTCTCCCTTAGGCTTTCTTATCTTTTAAGTTTAACTTATAATGTAATACTATAAATATTTTTATTTTACTTTCTAATATTACCAATTATTTATTGACAGTAAATTTGTTGATTTTTATAAATAAATAAATAAATAAACACAATTTAAAGAAAAGTTGTGCGACCATTTTTCCAAAAACAAGACGCATATCGATCGACATTCATAGCATTCATCAGATTTAGCTCCGTAGACTTCTAACTATATAATTATTTGAGAAGACCAGTCCGGGGATACAGCTAGACACCATTGAGGTTAAATCAGAAAAATCTAGACAAGAATTTTTCGGACTACTTCGAGAATTGAATAAAGCGTCGAAAAACGTATAAATTCAACCCTTAGTTAAAACAAATGTTTTTAAATCCTATTCGCGCAAAGTATGTAACAGGGAAAGAAGAAGAAAGCATGACTAGAAAAATCGATCCAGTCCGTTTGTCTGGATGACCGCCCGGATCGACTGTATTGTGGAAACGGCTTGGTATGTAGACTCTCTTTATCCCCAAGCAACACGAGTTTATTTTAATATTTATTTAAGGCGGGGGTTCGCTCTTCTTATTCTTTTTGCTTCTGCTACGGGTGGACGTATTGTCCCAGCAGCACCGATGGGGTTAACACAAAGCTTACGAATTAGAAATAAGACACTGTAATGCCGGCTCGTCAGACTTTCTAGAACCTGCGGTTGCAGTGACTGTCAATTAGATGTGGCGTTGTAATGGAACACCCATCAAGACGATATAGGTCCGATATGGGGCAGTGGGTTGTTCAATTACGTGCTTGAAATGTGTCAACGAGCCGACCCAGTAACCGTACGAGTAGGCCATCTGGCCGAGCGTGTTTGCAAAATAAAAGGAGTAAAATAAAGTATTAAAAAATGTACAGCCTCCTCCACACGGCTTAATTAAATGGTAGCCGCATTATTTAATTGGCCATAATTTATCTTTCAAAACTGTAGTTTTTTTTCGTTTGATCTGTTGTTGTATTTGTTTGTTTTTGGACCTCATAATTACACATGTTGCATGCGTGGGCAGCAATTGTTGTCAGGCAGTCAGTTTAAAGAGGTATTTATGCCCATTGTGTTTATCTTTTTGTTTGCTGTTGTTGTTGGTTTGTTTGCCTAACGTTGGCGTTCGTTAATGGGCAAATGAGTCTATTATTAAGCATTTGTTTACAAATAAACATTTAAAGTGCCAATTACTGTTGGTCAGCTTTTCAATTTCGATTTGAATGCCTACTTGACGACGCAGCGTCTGCTGCTTTGATTTGCATGTCACATTGTGATGATTGGCGGATCAGATAAACAAAAACAACTGCACAACTGAATGACAGTTTTTTTTATTATTTATAAGATAGCGATGTATATTAGCGAGCTTTGCAAAGTAGTTGTAACCGTTCAAATTCCTCACTGAAGTGCAATTTTTTTCTGAATTGCATCGAAAGCGATATGTGTAGAAAGGTTGGAAACAAGTCGAGGTCTAGGTGCGTCATAGACCAAAGCTTTTGTCGATCATTGCATTATGGGTCAAACGTTTATGGGTGTTGTTGTTGGCTTGCGGCTTGTGGCTTGTGGAAACCGGAATTGTACACGAATTGCTTGAGCACGAACTGCAAGTGAGATTTATTTCATTTTAACTGCGAAAACGTTATACTCATATATGCACAGGCGGAGCTATGTATGTTGAATGAGAAAGCGCGATTAGACCGCATTATAATATAAATAGTCCTATTCTACATCGCTAAAAAAGAGTTTAATAGAGACAATGCTTTATTCCAAAAGTAAAACCACGTAAGCCAAAGGTTAGACCAGGAACACAATGAGAAATTTATATAATTTATATTTTATATACGACGAATGTTATATGCAGCTGGTAGAGCGAATTTTGTAGGAGCAGATGCGATATATCGACTAGCAAGGCCCATGAAACTTCTATGAGACTAAAAACATGCTACAGATATAATAAAACCAAACAACATAATTGATTCTTTACGATCGATACAGCGACTGGGATCCATAGGCCACGAACTCGACTGAATACTAAAAGTCTTTCAGCAAGATTATCTTATTTCAAAAACATTGAGCGAAACATGGACAGCAAATTTACGAGTACCTACATATATCATTCTAGAATCGGTTATAATAGGTTTGCAACTAGACTTTAAGCTTTTGACATATAACTAACAACTATAAAGCGTTCAGATTATTTTATTTTATCTTGACACCAGAAAAAAACATACACAGCAACGATGAGTCGCAAATAATGTTCATCGTGTTGTACGCATGTTTTCATAAAATACAATTTACCGATGTATAGTAATACCAATATTTAACAAAAAGGTACTAAAAAGTAATATTCGTATTCACCGTATATCCTATCAAATGTATCATTAGAAAGAATTTGGTTATCCATGGCAAGCATCTGGTATGAGAACATTCTGAATATTTTCTGAATTTAGATTCAATATTTTTATAAACAATACAAAATTTCATACGAACATGATATTGTTCGTGTAATAGCTATAATATATACCGATCTCAGACTCTCGACAAACTAGTTAAGCCCATTATACAATTATTAATTGGAATATTTGTTCAAAAAGTTTAGTATTTTAAATATTTTCAAAATAATGAAGGAACACATTTAAATAAAATTGAAAATATTATTCAAGCTGCTTTTACAAATTTTTAGTTTAGATTGATTTTGGTTGACTAACAGCAATACCAATACCAATCCCTCTGCTTTGTAATCTAAATAGTAAAACCTATTTACAGAATTATAGATTTTTCAGTTGCCCTTTCAATGTAAGAAAAGACGGACAGGCGAACATATGTATATAAATTCGAAAGAAAAAGATGAAATTTCGTAGTAGCTCGAATAGTAAGGATTGATAGAGAAAGAACACAGCATCAACCAGAATACTGAAGTTATCACAAATTGTTTCAACTTTTTAAAGGAGCTCTAAGACCAACTATGGATTATTAACTACAGCTATGCCTAGTTATAGCTCATCCCATTTTATCCGAGACACTAGTATATAAATATTGAATTAAGTTTGAGGGAAACAAGTTTAGATAACTCACCTCTGGGTGGCGGACCAGCTTTTGGCGTTGTATGCGTGCAACAAGGTCGTCCAATTTTCGATACTGAGCTGTTGGAGCCGAAGCTGGAGGGCGCTTTCAGCTTACTAACGGGTATGCCAGTAACTGATGACGCAGGAGTGGGTATGTTGGAGCGGCTAGGCGGAGGTTTCATGGCTACGCCTTCGACGCTTGTGCTGTCCGGCGCCGAATCTGCTTCCACTGCGGGAGTAACTGCTGCTGCTTCCACATTGGCTTCACTTGGGTTAGCTTCACTCATTTTGCACTGATTTTTCACTTAACACTCTTAACACATACACGAATTTTCACGAATTTAAAAAACTTGGTAGCTCACTGCTGTTGCGTAAGCTTTTTAACATAAGATATGGAAAAATTCGTAAATTTTGAAGAATGCTTACTTACCTTTCCAGGAACAAATTAAAATGGCTTGGACAAATTGAGTTTCATTCAAATTTTACCACGATTTGACACACTGTGCAGTGATGCGGCGTTTTGGCGCGCACTCTGTCTATCTCTTTTACACTTGTTGCGGCTTACGGCACAGCTGATCCAAGTTGATTTTGTTGTCGTTACTGCTGGATGGTGGTTGTCTTTGGCTTGAAAAAATAAACAAATTCCGATGGTTGTTGTTGTTGTTGATATCGCTTAAGTTGTTGCGGCTTGGCCCTCGGCTATTGTTATTTTGATTTGTACGAAGCGGAACTTTTGCTGTATGAGCGCTAACACATTTAATTAATTATGCAAATATTTGTGGTGATTCTGATTGAAATTGAGCGCTTATTGATTATGACACTGATTCGCATCGCTTTATTACTCGTTGAGCACTGATTTATTTTAATTAAATAAACTAAATTGACTAAATTGCTTATCAATTGCTGCTGCACTCACGATTCTTGCTCTGATTGTTTTTGTTCTCTAATGCGACCCACTATGGGAGAACAGACGCGAGATTGACACACTTTCGACGCGACGTCAGAGCCAGCGCTCTTTAGCGGATAAAATAGATAGCGGACGTATAAATATGATAAGATAATTTGCCACCACGACAATGTGCTGCAAGTACACGTAGTTGGATTCGAATCGGAGTTAGTTAAACACTTATATTAGGAAATTTATTAGCACAAGTCGTGGCGTGCATCGACTGCGTTGAAATCTTGTTGTTGCACTAACAATGTATCGATTATCAAATGCTTGTGTGCTATCGATGTGTATCGAAACACTTTAAACTCAAAAGTTGGCAGTGCTGTCGTTGCTTTCAAATTTCAATTACCCATGTTGAAAATAACGCCATATGATATACTATTTATTCCTATTTAAAGCAAGTTGTGACACTTATTTGAAAAGTTCTAATAACAGCAACCGATTTAGGTTGCATTTTCAAACGTTTAAAATGCCAGTTAGTTAGTTTAGTTTAGTTTTTAGTTTTCTGAGAAAACAATAGAAGGGTGCACTTTGGGAAAAACAGTTATAAAATATGAATTTAAGTGTGTAAACTTTGGCTGGTTTGCATTTATCAATATCTTTTGATATTTTGGGCTGTGGATTTCAGACTGTCTGATTCCAGAATGACTATGATATCGATATGCATTCATTGTCGATAGCTCATAAGCTGGCAATATTTAAAAAGCAGTGGCAGCCTTCCAACTGCTGCTGGCAGTCGGCCAGACTGTCAGTATTTCTTTTTAGGTTGTGCCGTGCGGTTGGTGCAGCGCTTCTTTCGGCCGTTGTCTATGTGTGCGTGCGCGAGTGTGTAAACCAGGAAGCCAGGAGCAAGCTATTCCAAGAATTCTTATCAATGAGTCTGTAGTTGTATGCCGATGCATTGGCCAGATTAAAATGAATAGGTTTTGATACGTTCACGATAGCTGATTTTTCATTAGCGTTCGTCGCTCGCCTTGTTTCCGTTAGCATTTGCCTTTCCGTCTGTGTTCGTGTGTGTGTGTGAGCGTGTGTTTGTCGCACCACGCCTACACGCCGCGCTTAAGAATGGCTGCAACGGTTTACCAGCGCCTACACAACGCCAGCCTTGGTATTACCAGCGGCTCCGGCAACAACAACAATAACAACAGCAGCACCAGCAGCAGCAGCCACAGTGGTGGCCACCAATCCAGCGGCTTGCTGGGCCACTCACAGCTGGCGCGCTCATTGGAGCGCATCTTGGAGGAGGCGCACTTGAGTGGCGAACTCATACTCACGAATCGCAAGCTGAAGGATTTTCCCAAGACGGGCACAAAGTTTATGTTGACGGATACGGTAATTGCAGGTGCGTATGCAAATTTTCTTAAACAAACTTCACAATTTATACCAATTTTGTCATTTCCTTTTTGGGCGTGCTGTGCATATTATAGTCGCGAGTCCCGACCGGCTTTTTAGCGTCATTGTTGCGCTTTATGGGCGCGGCCGTTAGCATTTCTTGGCTTGAGTAGTGTCTCATAAATTTATGCTGAAATTTTCTTTTGTTGCTGAAAATCAATAATTTGCAGCAGCCCAGCTCCCAACTAGTAACTCTGCTTGCCGCATGCCTGCCTGCCTGCCCATCAGCTGCTCGCTTGTGTGCTGCTGCTGCTGCCGTCGCCACTCTCTCTCTCATTCTCCGTGGTGCTCTCGCCCGATGCCTGGTCGCCTGCCTGCGCCCATTTATTACTTTCTAGAACGGCTCACGCACTTTGCCTTAGTCTAGCCATCTCGCTCTCGCGCACTCTCTCTTGCTCTCGCGCCAAGGACAATAATTGCAGTTGTTCCTGTAATTTGCAGTTTGCACTATTCGCATGCAGCTCGGCCACATTTTCGGGTGGGTTTTTTATTTTAGTGTGTACGCCCATCGCGTGTCGGGTCCTGCCGTTCTGTTTCAAGTTCAACCAACTTTCGTTTTTGTTGCTCCCACCCACCTCTCACCTCTCACATGGGTGGCGGAGGAGAGGGTGCATTAAGCTATCGCCATCTGTTTTGTAGACTCGTTCGTTCAGACGGACAGACGATTTCATCGATTTTCACTTTGTTGCATTATCCAATATGTTGTGGCAGAAACTTCTTCCGGCGTTTCTTTTTCTTTCTGTGGCATGCCTGCGGCGTTTTCCAATTAAGTTTTGTTTGTGGTTCACTGCCGTTTGTTTTTGTTTTAATTACTCAAGCGATGCATTTGAGGCACTGCTTGGAGGTGCGAGAGTGCCGGGGAAGGGGCATGTGTAAGGCGTCACTAATTGCTAATTAATTGACAACACGCACGCCCTTCAACCGGAGAACTTTCACGCCCCTCACTGATTTGATCCTATTATAAGAAATATATTGATTTAGTCAAACTTTTAGTTATTGGAAGAGAGAAAGTACCAAGTTTCTTTACTTGTTTAATGAATTAAAAAATGCAAAAAAAAAAATTATATCTTTCTCATATACGTCTAAATGTTGTTCAATTTTTTTTTTTTTTGTATTAAAGTTTTTTAGGCGGCTTCTCGAAAACTGAAATTTCAGTTCAATATTTCAAGAAACTTAGCCGAGTGAAACCTTTGGCACCTTTATTTGTTTCTAAAAAGTGGCGACATCCAGGTTTTGATTTACTGTGCAGTTCTTTCCTTTATTTAGGAATTGGGGAAAGACCGGCAATTTCAGCAACAAATTGCTTTTCAACACACATGCCACACCATTAATCTACTCATACCCCAAACTCTAACCCTCCATTGCTGCCGTCCGACTCGAGAGCGGGAACAACACTTTGGCACGTTGAGGTGGCAAAATATTATGCAGCTAATGGCAATTCTAGCCCTGGGGAGTTTCAAGTTACCGCTCACCCATGCACTTGGCCAAGAAATCAATGAGAGCATAAACAGATCTCAGTTCTTTCTTGTCTTTATTTCATTCTCTTGCTGCTGCCCTTACCTTCGGAAAGCAACAACCCTTAAGACCCTTATAGGGGCGGCTGTCAAGCTTCCTTATGACAATTTGTTTGTTTGTTTTTGTTGCCGTTGTTTTTGTGGTGGCACCACATTTATATGCACCATGGTGTCCACCATCACCATCATCAGTCCCTATGCATGGAAAAGTCATTTCGATTTCAATGCACTGGCATGGACTTAATTAATACTCATGTCACGTAATTCACGCAGAGCTAAACAAAGCGTAGATAAAGATAGTGTGTAGAAAAATGAGGAAAAAATAACAGTAGCAACAACTAAAACAACTGAAAGCAAGTATGCAGGAAATTGTTTAAAATAATTGCAACACAAGTATGCAAAACGCATTAATGCCACAAAAAAGTGCAGCTGGCTCGGCACAATCGACCGAAGTGGTTGGTTGTAAGCAAAGGCAGTAAGGAAAGGTGGAGGTAACGAGGAGGTAGCGTCGACCGGCACTGGCAGCTGCGCAACGCATGTCAAAAGCTTTCGGGGAGACGCGCAGAGAGCTGAGCGGAGCGGAGCAGAGTGGAGCATCAGAGCAGCAGCTCCGAAGTTGCCGCTTAGCAAGAAATGTTGGAAATGAAGTTGGGTTGGCAAACAAAACCATTTTGGACTGGGACTGGAGGATTGGAGAAGAAGGGGGAATTATCATCATGAGTACTATCGAGGGTTGTACAAAGTAAATTGCTATCATTACATTATAGAAGATAGGAATCTGCTAACATTTACTCTACATTTATTCTAATTACGTGTAGCTTCGAATAATGGGATGGAGAACAGACAGGTGGCAATAATTTATTGAAAATCTATAAACAAATTTACATTTGTGAGCTCAGAACAGAGAATTCTTGAACGGACAAACTAAGGAATATAGATTATTATCATTATTGTGCAGAAAAAGGACTTAGATCTTTCATTAAGAACTAAATGCAAAAAGAACTGCAATCTTTATCTGACAAAGTTCGTGATATAGAATTTAACTATTGGACCCTGGCTTTTAAATAAACTAATGCGAAAAACATCTTTGATAGATCTTTGTGTTTATACCCAGAGACAAACAGGTATTCAGAAAAAGTTATAATTCATGAAATCGGTCACAACATTTTGAGTTTTTAATGCTTTTGCACCAATCTAGATTAATTACTTCTTTATGCCTACTGCAGAAAAATGTTTTTATTTTTTACTGGATTTTAAATAAATAAGCGATTAAATTGCCGACTATTTTTCATGAATTTAGGAATTAATCAATATAGGCTAAAGATTTAAGTGCAGAAAGAATGAAATAAAAGAATATTCCCAATTTGACGCTTCAGACTCCCCATTTTGGTTTAGGAGAATTCAAGAATAATTTTATGGACAGCAACAAATTTATTTCACTTACAACTTGATGTAACCAAAATATTTGTATATAGAAATATTATTTCCAAAAACAAAGTAAAGAGCTTAAAACTATATTTCCATTCAAGAAAAGTAAGACTAAAACATTTTTAAGCAGATCAAAATTAAGATAATGTACGGAAAAATTAGGTACGTGAAAAACAAGTTTTGTCAATAAATTCTTTGTTCTTAGAGTTAAACAAATGCCTATATTTATGTAGTAGGTATTACATAATATCATCTCTACTTACTATGTTATGTTATTTGTATAGTAAAATTTACGTATGTGTGTATGTGTCGTCCTAAATGGCTGACGTATTACTTATGCTTGAGAAACATCTATAATTATTCATAATATTGTTACGATTTCGAAAAAAACACAAATTATGAGAATGAAATGAAAAGAAATGTGTTTTTTTTATTCGGAAAAATGTGTAGAAACCCATCGGATATGCACACTTGTTAGTTGTTACCTGACAAGTATTTGTGCAGCAACCCTCGAAAGTATTTGTGGGTATGTATCTAGATATGTTTCTGCCACTACCGTGGGTATCTGGAAGCGATGCTGCTACTACTTCCACACCTATTATTGTTGTTGTTTTTGTTGCAAACTGTAAATATGAAGAGCAAGCATTTTTTTACTGTCGCTATACAAACAAGCATTCATACATACATACATACATATGTACATGCAAACATACATAAGTTTGTGTGTGTGGACAGACAACAGAGGAAGCATATGTCCAAATAGAAATACTGAGACGACGAAGACGACGCTGTTGCCGTCGACGTCATTGTCAACTACGGCGTCGTGCGACGTCAAAGGGCAACGTGCGGCATAAACTGATAGTCAAACAGTCGGACTTGTGGACGGACAAGTCGTCAGTGGAGCCACTGAGCGAAGCCTCACACAGCCGGCACGCAAACGGTGCGACGGACCAGTGCTTGCCAAACTGTATTTATGTGATTTGCATGCGCAATGAGGCGTAGGAAATGTTTATGCGTTAGTTTTGCCTTTATTTATTTATTTTTAGGTACTACCTACTGCGCAGCGAACTGGCGACGACACTGATTTCTTCAAATGCAATTTGTGCAAGCTCTTTCATATGCAAATATGGATTTGAATGTATTTTATTTATTTGTGTACTTGCTTTTGTATATTTGTTTAGCTGCATGGAGGGGTTGCAGCAGGCAAAGCAACAGTATGGAACATCTGTGATAATATCGTTGCTCATGAAGGCCAAGCATAATAATCACTTTTATAGATACTTACATTCATGACAAACTTGACATACAAAAAAGTGTCTTGGCTGCCATTTCTGAGTCATTCATTAATTCATAAGTAAGCATTATTAAATGGTTGCTTGGAAGAAACAAGACGAACGAAGACAACAAAAGCATAACAATTTCGTTTTAATTGCTGAACATAGCACGCGCTCACACACACACACACACACACACACACACACACATGTACATACATACATACATATATGGTGGCAATTGTCAGTTGCCGCACGGTGGCAGCAACAAAAAAGCGGTGCAGCTACTGCCAGACACACAGCAGCTGGTATCAGCTTACTATACAACAGCGGCAAATAAATTAGAAGAAGCATTGCCAATAGCCAGACAAACAATAACAAAAAGCGAGACAACAGAAACAATGGGGTACAAACAAAAGAATCTTATCTACCGCACGTTGAAGATTACATGCTCTATTTTTAAAAAAGATTGGGTAAAACAAAAGTTATTGAATAGTAAGAACGAATTGAATAACAATTATTAGTCGTCAACGAAGTGTAGATAAGAGCAAATAGAGCATTTTAATTTTTTAGGTTGGACTCATAATGCGGGTAATTGCGGGAATTTGCAAATATTTGTTGGGCACTTTTCTTTTAAATATTTCATTATTAAGAATGCCAGTGGTGGCCTTTCGAAACTGAAACATTAATTCTGGAAAAGTTACCTATAAAAAGTTAAAAGAAACTTCATCCAAAAATTGTATTTTATTTACTTGAAAAATGAGGGAACTTACCAAACACCTACTGAAAAACCCAACTATCATAAATGATCGGAATTAATAGTGGGCTACAAATGGTAGTTTTCAGATTTTTTATAATTCTACTAGAAATATTTCTATTAGAAACATTTGGTAGCCAAGTCTCACAAAAACTCATTTATTTATTTACCGAGCATAAATGCTCGGAATTAAAGAGTATACAAAATGCTTTAATATGTGTATAGATTTCCAGTTTTGTTTGCGTTTTGGAAGTTGAAAAATTGTAAACTATCCACAGCTGTTCATGGAATTCGCAAGCGATACTTTTCGAAACCATCGGACCAGCCTGAACTGTTTCAATATTTGTTTTCTTAGTTGTTTACTGTTTATTGTTACGCACAAAGAGTTTTGTTTTGTGTGCTTTGCGATTAAAAGAGCATACGAAATTGCATTGAACGGAACAAACACAATACATGCTATACATACTATATAGTAGATGTATATAGATTTAGGTATGTACTCCTATTTATATGACAGAGTAAAGTGCTAAGCTATTTTGAAAGTCAAATGAAATCCATGGCGGCAACGAATGCGTGCTATGTCATAAAGAAATATTGTTAATGTCTATTGGGTCATATGAGAATGTGTAGGGTGTCTCTCGATTTGTTTAGAGTCTGAAAAATCCACCCTCATAAACAGAACTGTTTTGTACATACAATAAAATGAACAAAATGGACTTAAGACTTACGTATGTATTTAACTTCGAAAGGGTCTCTTGGGCTTTTTGTTTGCAAGGCCCTTGAAGAAGATTCATTTAAAGAGCAATTCAATATTGAATTACTTTATCAGAAATCAATAAGTTTCCCATAAATAAGCTAAACTGAATGCAAATTGTTTTCAATTCTTCCCAGAGATATTGGCAGCTATCTTTAATATAGTTTTATGATAAAGGGGTCGCTCATTCCATTCATAAGCTTTGAATATTTGTCTGGTATGACGCATTTGCGAAATGAATCAATTTAAGACATCAATTTTAATAAATCCATTAATGGTTCGTGGTTATTAAAGTGCCGCGGGTTTGCCTAATGACTTTAAAGCTAAGCTGGCCAGGCACAAAAGGCAAACATAATAACGGAATGAGCATAAAGCCATGGGACAGACCAAATATGCCAAGCACTCGCCCTAAACAACCGATGTGCCATATAAAGGCGACGGCATGTTGCCATGGCACGTGGACGATGTGGGCGCCCAGTCCGATGCGTCGTCAGCGCCACATCCATAGCCACAGTCATCAATTTAATTTTTCGTTGCTTCCGGGCCAAGTGGTGGTGTTGTTGGTTAGGGGCTCTGTGTTTTTTATGCTCCGGATTTTTCCGCTGGCCCGGCTAGTCCAGGCGTTTTCGTTTACGCCCTTCAAAATCAAATGCCAGACCATGTTGGAGCGTGCGCTTGGCTTAGCTCAGCTTTTTTGTGAGTGTGTCCTTTTTTGTGTGTTGTCAAGTTGTCTGGACGAAATCATGGTTTTCCCTTTCCCGACAACGTTACCCCTCCTTCATAGGCGACCGCACCCTTGTCGCATTTGGCTAATTGTTTGTGCGCTCCTTTTTGTTATTCGTTTGACTTTCAGAGGATATTTTGTGATTTGGGTGAAAATGTGTGTAAGGTGTCTAACCATACACACACACAGCCTATACATCTGGCCCATTCCATTTTGTGGTTTTTGCACAACTAGCAAAAAATAATATATATGAAGAAAACAACTTAAAAATTTGATTCATTTTATATTGAAAACAATTTTTGCGCATTGCGATTTAGTTTCTCTTGGCTCTTTGCCAACTGAGCTTCAAAACAGCATCTCTCAACGGCACAGTGTGGCAATTCACAATGGATTTTAATTTTTTGACCAATTAAATAATTTATTTTTCAAATGTTCAGCCGCTAAAGATAAGATGTGACTTAAATATTTCTTATCTGTTCCTCAATTAAATAATAATTCTTATTTCAATTATACGTTTGATTTCACAATCAATTTTCGTTTGTTCAATTCACAAATCATTAAAGGCATTTATTATTATTCTGCGCCCCATACAATCCCTCGTTATTAGCATCACAAACAATCAAATAATTTCTTGACAGCCTGAATTAAATTGCTTTTCTGAAAATGTTCACTCACTTGCGGGTCGAATTTGTTGGAGCCCGACTTTAAACCCTCATCCCACAAACATTTTAAATAAAATTCTGCTTGTTTCCAATCTTTATATCCATCCTTGGGGCAACTTAAATAGTTTTGTTTCCCAGTGTACACAGTAGGCCTAATTGTATTTGCATATCTGATTGCCCGGGTGTTGGTTTTTTGTTTTGATTAAATATATTTTGGACGCCTGCCAATTTGTGGATCCACAACTTTAATGTTGCGGCATGTGGCAGGTTCAAAGTACAAAGTCGTCGGCAAACTGTTTAAATTGTTGCACACATTGTTGCCCCACATTGTGTGGGCTGTCGGCAGGCTGTTGTTTGTCTCTATGTCTGTCCGTCCGTCCGTCTGTCTGTCTGACTGGCAGGCACTTCAACGCTAAACGGAAACGTGCTCCAATCCAATTTCCGCATTTAATAATGAAGCGCATATAAAAGAAGTTGGCGACAATGCGGAGGATGTGCGCCGCCCTTTGTGGGATTGTGGGAGGAAGACTGGCAAGAACTCGCTGGCGGCTTGATTTATAACCAGTAGCCGGAGCCGGAGCCGGAGCTGGATAATGTGTTGGTTGACGTCATTTGGCTTTATACGAGCATACCCTGCACTTGGCTGCATTGTGCGCATTGTACATTGGCTTGCATATCCTGTCGTTGACATGCAAAGTTTATTCAACCTTTTGCTGTAGGTGCCCACCCGATTCGACTCCATCTACGGCGGCTCTCCCTAGCCAGCCCAGCTCCCAAGCCATTGCCATCTCGAGTGCGCACACTTTGTGCTCCAAGTGGGTCTGTTGAAGCCATAGAAGAACAGCTTAAGTCGCCTAGACTTCCATCATACATCATACAATATTTACATGAGCATCGGGGCTTTTGTGTTCCGTGCCGGCAGTCGTTGCCTTTGTTGCGTAATGTCTTGTTTTGAAACCCAAAGAAATCTTTGGACGACTGGTTGCTGCTGTTATTGTTGTTGTGCACCATAACGTGTGCCGCCGCTGTGCGTAAATCACAGCGAAAAAAAGGCCAGCAGTTGTCGTCAACGAGGCAGTCTCGGCATCCAGCCATCAGGCAGGGGAAGTCGAGGTGGCTGCCAGTCGCGGAGGCTACTATTATGGCCAAGTAGTTTGTAGTTTGCAGTTTTTTATGGAGCATTGACTGATGAACGCACATTTCTGGTCTGGTCTAGCAAGTGCTTTTGCAAAGACTGTGGGTAGCTCACAAAATTTTCGCCAATCTCACGCCTTGCCGAAATTCCAGTTGCTCGTGTATACTCTGAAGTCTCAGTTTGAAGCTGTAACAGAAATAGTCGACCCAATAAAAGTTTGTTTTTCAAGCTACTCCCACGCCCTGCCATAACTTTATACAACAGGAAACTTCAGATGCCTCCTCTACATACAGGCACTCCAAAGTGCTCTAGCTGTCCTCAATAATGTTTAATCACGAGCACACTTAATTATGCACTTGCAAAAAATTACTGGACATTTATCACAAAGTAGATCTCCACTAAAAGTGGGGCTTTAAAAATAATGTTCATGATTCGAATAGTCTATACAAATTGTGGGATGATTTGGAGCTCAAAGCCATGTTATTTACAAATATGGTAGAGGGATCCGTTTTGCTTGTATTTTCTCTAAAATAATATTTATGCTAATGTTAGTTTAAAACGACATTTTTGTTAGAACGGTTAGATTTGAAAGAAGTAGGCAAATAGGGGCTTCTTATATATACATTTATATTTTGTACAATCTATTTTTATGACCGACCAACTACCTATAAGCTTTATAAGATTTTTATAGTAAGCTCACAATTCTTCCAGTTGGAAATAAATCTTTAACTAATTAAATAAGCATTTAGCTGCCAGACTTGCCATTTCTTACAACGATTTCTAAAGAACCTGCAGAGAGTTGAACACTTCTGTCTTTGCCCAGCACTTACCAGGCGTAGGTTCTCTATCCTAGGGTGACCTTTCCAATTCATAAATTCCCCATTAACAGTATTGGATGGCTGAAGGTGAACTCATAAAAAAGTTATAGGCATTACAACATGAAATAGATTCACAACTTTTGAAATACCTTACATACTTGTACTTGTACATAATCAGGCAGTCCGCTTAGTGGTGTTTCTAGTGTATCTTGAACTCGACTTCGTTAAACTAACCATTGAGGCGCAAGTGTTTTATTTAGTTTGTGTTCTACATCGTCTTCCTCTCTTGGCATCCATTTCTGGCTTCATTTCGGACCCCTTTCCATGACTGCGTAGTCGTTACGACCCGGTTCTCCCCCTTCGTGCACATTGCTTGTTGTTGTTTTCATTAATTTGGCATGCAAATTCATTTAGTAAATTAATTGCTCACTCCTCCACGCGAAATACAGAACGCAACACACTTTTCAGCATTTCGTGGCGAGCAGTGAATTGCGCCCCCAATTGAGGTCATGCGCTCCACTGTGGCGTGGCAGGCGCGGAACGCGTGAAATGAAACAAATGTTGGAAAGCAAATGGTGATAACGCTTTTTGAATTAAAAAACCCCATATACTATGTACATACATTGAAGGGTGTGTGTGTGTGTGTGTTCGCACTTAAAATAACACGCAACTCAAGCCCACGGCTCACGGGTGCGCCAAGGCGGCTCCCCGCCACACGCAATGCGCTATTATTGTTCAATTTTTATGGCTTGGCGTCTGCCCTGCTCCTCATTCTCTCTATAATTCATGAATGTTCTGCGTCACGCTCCCTAATTAATGTTGTCGCCTCTCGTTTCCCGTCTTTTTTAGATCTATCCCGAAATAGATTCTGTGAGCTACCCGAGGAGATCACAACATTTGCATTTCTGGAGACCCTGCTGCTCTATCACAATGCCATACGCAGCATACCTGAGTCGGTAAAGCAGCTGTCCTCGCTGACGTATCTGGACCTGCGGAGCAATCAGCTGTCAACACTGCCTCGTGAGATTTGCTTTCTACCCCTGCAGGTGTTACTCGTCTCGAACAATCGTCTGATGGCCCTGCCCGACGAGCTGGGACGGCTGGACCGCCTGACTGATTTGGATGCATCGTACAACCAGTTGGCAGCTCTGCCCGCGCGAATTGGCGAGCTGCGCTCGCTGTGCGCTCTTTCGTTGCGCAGCAATCAGCTGATGTATCTGCCGCGAGAGCTAACCTGTCTGAATCTCATCTCGCTCGATGTGAGCAACAATCGCATTGCCAGTTTGCCGGTCGAGATGCGTCACATGGGAACGCTGGTGGAGCTGCAGCTGGAGAACAATCCCCTTACTTCGCCACCGGCTAGTGTGAGTACATCGAATACTGGAATATTTACAGGAACGGCACATAGGTCTCCCTGGAGTTTAGAAACGTTATTTATTTTAAAACTGGATAGAATAATGCAAAATACCTTGTGTCTAAACAAGAGCAAGATCAATGCTGCAGTTTGTGGGCATAATACCGATATAATAGTAGAGAATTAGTTTAGTTTATGGAATTGTGGAAAATATTGACGATATTTTGTAGAAGAGGAAGGGGATCAAAATAAATAAACCAAATTAAACTCGTATTGCCTAGGGATCGGGAGAGTCTACATACCAAGTTTGGTCAATATGGGCTCAGCCGTTTCCGAAATCCAGGCGTTCATCCAGACAGATGGACGGACATAGATCGATTTATCTCGTCATGCTGATAAGGAATATATGTTCTTAATGTGGTCGGATATGTTTTCTTCTGCTTGTTACATACTTTGCGCACACCTTATGCATCGTTTTTACTCTTCAAGTACACGATATGAAAATGAATTAATTTTAGGAGCTTAAGTACTATAAGAGGGGGTTCAGTTTTTGTGGTAAATGATGTAAGTTCCAGATCATACTTACATTGATAAATCGGTACGCTATCAGATCAGAGATATTGAATTTGTGTCGCTAATACCATTAGTTATCTAGCATTGCCATTGCTAAATGTTGGTTAATAATATTATTAATGTTATTTGCTTTACAGTTGTGTGTACGTGGTTTGGTACATGTTTTCAAGTTTCTGGAGACCCAAGCAACCAAAGATGAGAAGGGATCGCGTGCAGGTGGCAACTACGATGGCTACACCACGTTGCGACGTGCGGTGCGTCATAATTCCAGCGGCAATGTACTGGAGACTGCAACAAGTCAGCGAATGGCTACGCGGCTGCAGGTGGACTCTGGTTACAGCACCTGTGATGGTCTCGACAAGCGTTGGTCCCACGAATCCAAGTCGAAAACGGACTCCCCGCTCCATCGCTCCACTTTGCCACACATTGCTCCCAATCATTCGTTGAGCGCCGAGCTCATGGATGCTTCACTTACGTCCAGCAGCAGCACCATTGTTGATGAAAGTATCACGTTGAGTGCTGGCGGCTCGCCTGCTCTGGGGAAATCACGAAGTACTGGAGTCTCCCCACTAGGGTCGCCTAGCAAGCGACCCGTTGGAGAGTCTCCCACACTTGAACAGCACATCAACTATGCTCACTCGCGTAGTTCTAGCAATGGTTCATCGCCGGACCAAGACGATCTAATGCTAGATCATCACGAAAGCAGCATACACAACGGCAAAGTCAGCGATGAGAAGCTCAACAAGAGCTTGAGCAATATACAGACATATAAGTGAGTAGTTGATGGTTAGCCCGACTTGGCGAATGTTTCTAATCTTATTTTGCATCCGAAGAGAGTATAAGGAGGCGTTGAAGCAACAGCGTAACCAGGAAATAAGCAGCGTCTACAAACAGAAGCATCCGAATGCGAATCTAAGTCCGAACGATGAAGAGTTGCCGCCCACATCATCGCGTCTGACAAACGGCACAGCACCGGTCATACTGCCCAAGTCGATTATGAAGCAGCCGAGCAACAGCAATGGTCATAGTACGAACGGCAATGGCCTGGACGATGTTGTTATACCAAAGAAACCCATACAAAAGGTGATACCTTCGCGTAATACGGAACTGATGTCGTCACAGGCGGCGACGAAGATGCCAGCGATGACTAATGATGCTGGCGGGCCACAAACGGCGAGCGGCGTCGATTGCTTGGGCTACGTGAAACCTCATAGTCCCATGAAGAATGGCGTGCTCACGAATAGCAACAACAACAGCAAGTTCAATACGTCCAGCAGCAATGGGGGAGGGGCTGGTGTCATCACCAGCGTCATCAAATCGCCCATAAGCGCCACAGCCAAACTGGGAACCGTGAAAACGCATCGCACGGTAACCTGGAATCATGACATACCCTCAGAGAAATTAAGTTTCACCATGCGACGAGAGTTCGATCGTCAACGGGAAGAAACCGAGTTGATGTCACAGCTGCGAAGCGTAAGTGGAGGGTTAAGGCAATGCAAAAATATGTACATTTCTAAATAAGATCTGTCTTTGTTGCAGATAATTGAAACGCGCTTGAAGATGACGCTGCCTGAGGATATTGCATCGGCCCTGACCGATGGCGTCATCTTGTGTCATTTGGCGAACTATGTTCGACCACGTTCAGTGGCCAGCATTCATGTACCATCGCCGGGTGTGGTAAGTGTTCAAGCGGAAGGCAGCTGAGTAATTTAAATTATTATGGCGACGAATATAAATGAGCACACTTTTCATTGAAAGTCTGATTTTATGAACTGCAAATGAATGAAATTCAATTACAGAGCCCATTAGCTTAGAATTCAATTCAAATAGGAAACATCATCAGCGCATGGTATATTATATGGCTTATATAGCAACAAAAAAGCCATAAAAGGTCAATCAAACAGAATGAAACGCGAAGGGACAAACACATCTTGTTTCGCTGAAGTATAGTAAATAAAGTATTCAAACGCATATTTTACCATTAATTCTCTTAACACCAAAATTAGTGGCAGCTTTGTATCGCTCGTAAGTTTTTGTAGTGAAACTGTTTATGTGACGCTCTTGAATGCTGGGTCGGCAACCTTTTCTGTAACGAAAGCAATAGCTCGGTAGCAGACGCACATAAATGCACTTTAAGTAGACCACCTGGCAAAAATTATAAATGTAATCAAAAATCTGAGACTGTGGGTTTTCTATCTATTTTTTTTTTTTTGCGCTTTTATAACTATAAGTAGCGGTGTTTTTAGCTATTTTATAGTGGTTTCTCTATAAATTTTAGAAGATTTTCTAGCAGCTCTAGTACCCATTAGCGGATTTTTAAAATCTTTTTTCATTATATTTATAGTGGCTTTGTATCCATTTTGAAGCATATTCTACCCATGTATAGTAAGTTTTCTAGCCTTATCTAGTGGAATATTTGCCACTATCGGGGTTTCTACTCATTCGTAGGGGATTTTCCAGAAATTTTCTATGTACTTATAGTTGCATTTCTAGTCCTTTTATAGCGCGTTTTTTTTTTTTTTTAGTTATTTATAGCGAATCATATTTCTATCAGGGTCGGCTATTTAGTCTTTAGTTTTGTACAGCTGTCAGATCTGCTCAGTTCAAAAAGAAATATAAATCGGTGATGTCCAGCGGTTTTTCAACAGCATAAGTTTCTGAATTTTTAAGCACTTCAGTTATAAAATTCAGTTTAAATTTTTTGATCAAAAACAGCTAGATTGACAAAAAAATAAAGCTAAAAAAAAACTAAATCCAAGGTAAAATAGGCTAAAAAACAAGCCGGCCTTAAAAAGACTATTTTCTTGGTCAAATTTAAGGAAATACATATCTGTTTTAATGTTTTCATATTAATTATATATTCTTAATTCATAATTTATAATAATAATATGAGATTCGTGTAAAAAAAAATAGTTGAAAATTCACATTAAAATCAAGCTAAATATTCTACAGTTGTTCATCTAAACTCACAGCCACTTCGTCAGGATAATTTTGGTGTTACGATTAAGTCAGTATCTTAAATTGAAAATTAATTAATATAATTATAATATTAAAATATTTTGTTTTTTGGCTTACAAAAACCTAACTTAAGCTTAAAATTGAGTTAGGCGTATTTAAATTCATCCCATTTCTTAATTTGGATTTAACTAAGTTCACCTGGCTGAAAACCCGCTCCACTTCGCGAACACTTTGTTTGTACACTTTAGATATAGCTTAATGCAGCGAAGAAAAAAACATCTTATGCTAGAGTCTGGAGGTGATTTTGATAGATTTTATAATGGAAAGTCGTTTATCACTGCTTATAGTCATGATTTTAAGTGTTCACAAAGATAAGGTAATATATGGTTTAAAATAAAGTAAAGCTAGAAAAAGGCTAAATAATTTTTTTCATGCTGGAATTCCCGGAGCCCGCTATTTTCGAATTTTTCCCGCACTGGCATAAAAAAAGCCAGATCTAGCGGGAAAAAAGCTAAAATGACAGTACTGCTTCATAGAAAGGTTACACGTTTGAAACCCGCTAAATTTACCAGCACTTTTAAACGATTTGTTTAGAGGATATATTTTCTTACAATCAAGAAAAATGATTTATAGCGTCTTGTGATTTAACAATAATCATATCATATCTATCCATATAATGTAACCAAGTATTAGTGTCATAGATAGATAGATAGATATAAAAATGCGGCTTGTGATTTTAACGAGACCATAAAACAATATATAGTTTAGTATTTTTATTACAAACACTGTGTTTGTAATAATTTCATAAAATTGCAGATTGTGGACCTCCATAATAATTTAATTCGCAAGACTGCTCTTCTTTTGAAAGAAATACATATCTCATTGAAATATTAATTCATATTTTTCGACATTTTGCAGAACAAACTGACTATGGCCCGTTGCCGTCGAAATGTAGACAATTTCTTGGAGGCTTGCCGGCGCATTGGCGTAGATGAGGTGCGTATGGGCCCTGACCTTTCAACCCAATAGTCTAGACATATGTATATAGTGAAGGCCTAACATTATCAAGACTAATATGTAGATATACTAAAACGTTAATACAAGGCAAAGGCAAATGCTTATACGCTTAAACGCTTGATCGCCTTAAACTATTGGCAAGCATTTGTTGAACCCACAATGTTCGAATTGTAGATTAGCTTTAAGTGCCCCCCACCAATCAATTCCCCTACCAACCCCACAAACACACACTTTGAAATGATGCATAAATCTGTTATTGGTGTTGGTTGCAGGAGTTGATTTGCTCCTGTGCAGATGTTGTGCCTCAGAATGATGAACGCGCTGACGATGACTATGATGCTGATGTGTATGTCAGTGATAGCAATGATAACAGCAGCAGCAGCAATAAACTGAATGGCAGCAGCAGTAACAACAACAACAATAATAGTAACAGCAACAGCAAAATGAAACGCAGCCGAGTGCCGAATGCATTGGCAGTATTGCGTACGGTGGCCGCACTGATAGCCTTGGATGCGAATCCACATCATCAGCACATGCGCTACTTGCAACAACAAGAAGAGTTGCAGTGCAAGCTGCAACAGTTGCAGCTTCTGCAGCAGCAGCAGCAGCAACAGAAAGGGCAGCAATTCGAACCGCAAATAGAAGGGATAGAGCAGCTGGCTGGCAACATTGTTGCGCAACATTTTGAGCAAGAGCAATTAACTGCACAAACCTGCACCAAACAACAACAACAGATGTTGCAGCCAAAACAACAACAACAACAACAACAGCAACAACAACCATTACTACAAAATCACTATGAGCTATATGAGAATGCAAGCACTTGCTATTATGAAACCATCATCAATGGCGAGCATGTGTATTCTGCTGATGATGTCGCGGCTGGGCAGGAGAAACGGCAACAGCAGCAGCAACAACAACAACAACATGTTGCTGTTGGTGCCACCTGCAACCTGTACGAATTGCCGGCGCAGCAGCACAGCACCGTGGGGCAATTGTTGCGTACGGCAAAGTTGAAGACATATGAGAAGATCAAATACAATTTGCTGAGCGCACACGGCCACCACAGCTTCCAGAACAACAACAATCGCTGCATGGAAACGAGCAACACCTGTACGTTGCAGACTATCATTGAGAGCGAGCACGATGTGGCAGCCGCTGGACCGGCTGGACACTATCAGCTGATCAATGAGAAGGCATTCGAGGAGCTTTCAACAGGCACTGCACAGGAGCCAGCGCTGGAAGTGAAGCAACAGGAGGATCAGCAGCAGCAACAGCAACATGTGGGAAAGCCGCTGTCCAAACGCATCGAGTTCTTCGAGCACAACAATCAGACGGCAAACAAGTCCAAGGTGGATGTCAAGGGCACGGCCGGCATCTTCAGCATTTATCGCATCGGCGAGCAGCACAACGAAAAATTGCTGATCGGCAACAACAGCATCAGCATCAGCAGCTCGACAATCAAATTGGAGCAGTTGAAGAAAAACGAGGCGGGCACTTCGTTACTAAAACACGACTCCCATACTCTGACCATTGTCTTATCTTGCGTATTTATTGTGACCTTCCTATTGCTCGTCTTCTTTCCATTGCCGGGTTAACAGTGGAAGCAACTGTAGCAGCAATATAGTAGTTAAGATGCCTTCATATATTGCCATAGGTTTAAGTGGGCCCACAAATTATTGCCTAGCCAGCTCTGCAGCTTTTGCGCTTCACTAATCACACATACATACACGTATGTACATACATACATACATACATTAATAATTATGTATAACTTCGATAGTGAGTTCTTGAGGCTGCTTTTGTTTAGCTATTAAAATTGCGACTAATACTTGACAAGCTTAAATATTTTCGTAAAAAGAACAACATATTTAGATTTGGGAAATTCATTTTATATACGAGTAAATATATATATATAGGAAAAGAAGGGCAACAACACCCCAAAGACTTTGAAATGCATCAAGTGTAGCGTAGCATATACTATACGAAAAAAAATTAGTATTTGTTTGAACATATTCCTAGTTTGCCCCCAGTGTGTGAACTCTAAAACAAGATTCTCATCAACCATTCGGACATGCGTATTTTGCTTAGATCTTAGACGCGTATAAAAACGTGCTGTACTGAATTTAATTATACATGCAAAGAATACATTTTAAAACACATATAGAACATACTTACCTACAAACATATTTAGAATTTTACAATAAGTTACAACGAAGTACACATGATTTAAGTTCCGCTTTTCACGACACTACTAAACACAACACTACACTAAACAATAATGGAGAAATGTTTGTATAAATGTTTGCCTAACATAAAGCTAGATATCATAAGTTGTGGAAGGGTATACCAGTGCTGTAGTAGGTTTGAAATAGTATAAAGGCTAGAATTGTTATAGGCAAGTACCAGTTAATAGTGTGACACAGGAATGGAAGAGTTGTATGGTTTTAATCGAAGCAGGGACACAAAAGTAGTTTAAGACAAGCCTCTTGGATATATACATAAAAGCTATAGAGCAGCAGCATTGAACGAAGGACGACAACACTTGTGAATAAGTTAAGGAGTGTGCCAATCTATATATATTTTCCATAATGCACACGCACATGTATACAATAGCTAAATAGTTCCAAATATCTATGTAGCAATCAGGTATAAGAATCAGCAATCCCAAAGCCAATTCTCTGAAAGTAAACAAAAATAGTGCCTTTGATTGTGCAGCGCGTCGCAATCGAACTGCTCTGTCTATATTCAAGATAAAGCAGCTATCAAGCAATAATTCTACACATTTTCCAAATCATTTTGTTTACTAAATATTCATGGAGACAATGCGTCAACTCTAGCTATAAATATATTCAAAACTATTCACTATGTTCTTTAAGAAACCTATGTTACAATTATGTTGCCTATACGCTTTTTCAAAAGGGATGACTTATTGAAATATATTATTTATGACTATAAAATTAAACAACACTTAGTTTAGGTATTTATGCAAAAAAACATTCCTAACAAAACGTAATAATTTAAACTTGACTTTTCTATACTTACACATATTTTGCGTATGTACTTACGGAGCAACTGAAGCTCTCGATGAAATCTAATCAAATTTCTAAAAGAAGCACAATCTATAACCTTGTAACTCCATAATATTGAAAAAAAAAACAAAAATTTATATATATTTTGTCTAACAAAATTGTAAAAGAAAACATTCAGGCAACTAAGAAAGTAAAAGAAAGTGAAAAATATATGAAGAATATTGCAATGAACATTAATTTTTATAAAAACCATTTAACAAAGACACTATTTACGCTCTATATATGCATTTATATACAAAACTACGTATGTATTATATATCGTACTTATAAGTATATAAGTTATTTATGCCAACTTATGAGATTTGGAAAAGCAAAAATATTTACGAGCCGAGAAGTGGAGAAAACATGAAGCCAAAATCATTGTACAAGCTACAAATACAACACACAAATCAAGAATGCATTTATTGTAAAGATGTAAAGATGCGAAAAGGATTCAGGACACATTTGTAACCCAACAAGTATAATACTTCATATACTATAGCTACTATATCCCAGTAATTCGTTACAAAATTCAAACAAACTGTTGCATTTATAATTGGGAACCAAGCACAAGATTTCTGAGAACAACTAAATTGTAATATTTTAAGCCGAGAAGCGCTATTTAACAAAGAAATATATGGAAAAACATTAAAAAATAGTTTTTGTAAAAAATGGAAACTCGCCATCGCTCACGCATTCTTTCTCTTGTAGTCTTCGAAACAGTTTGGCAGCAATTGCTGTTTGACAGCCACTGTAACTTAGCAAAGTCACACACCCAGAGCGGCTTAATTCTGGTTGTCAAACTGTTGCTTTTGATTTGTTTGCATGGTGGTGTTTGGTTGGCCACAAACTAAAACAAATCAAATCAAATGACATTTTGATGTACATATAAGATATTAAAATAAATCTATTTTACTTCACAGAATCTAATTTGTTGCGCTGCAGACGTGCTCGAGGGCAAAGGTGCTGTACAAGTGGCCATTACTGTGGGGGAGCTCTTTCGTTTGCATGGCAGCGGGCTGGTGGCTTCGGCAGCAGTTGGCGGCGGCGGTGGTGGCGGTACAGGTAGCGGTGCGGCAACACCAACTAAATCGCCAACCAGAACGACACGTGCCACATTGTCGCCAACGCCATTGGCCTAAAGCGGACACACCACACATACGAGTGAAATTCTTTGAACGGTGCCACACACATAATCATCTAACTAGTTGAAAACTTTTCGGTTTCGGAAAAAAAGAAACAGTTCAGAAGTTTGCCGTTTTTGTTTGTTGTCACATTAGTCATGCTTTGTTAAATGATTCATTTCAAATAAGTGCATTGTTTATTTATTTATGTAAATACACAAAATGAAACCAAAACACACACCGCACATAACAAACAAGCTCATCAACACAAACACACAGCTACAAATACGAATTTGAGTTGAAATCACAATGTATTTAATTAGTCTATGAATTTATTAGTTTTTAACAAACAAAAAAAAAGAAGAAAGTATTTAGTCAGCATTGCCCAACAGTTTGGCGTGCATTGCGGTACATCTACAACTGTATGTTAAAATAGTTTTTGTTTCTGTTATAATTTTAGTCGTTTAAACTAACATACACATACATTAACAAAACTTTTGGCAAAGCAATTGCATTAAAATATTTTGAAATGAATGAAATGTGAGCAAACGATACATAAATATACTGTTTTAGGTATGAAACACTGTACACCAAACATTTTTATATGAATGCAACACACATACATATTATGGCAAATAAATTATTATGTAGCTTAGCTTAGTCTTAAATGCGCTGTTAGGGACGCGGACACACACACATTAACACATTCTCTTACAGCTGCATGCGCATTACGTCACACCATTTATACGATTTGTAAACCATAAGTCATAAGTCTTCGATTATACATACGAGAATAAACTGAAAATGTCTCATGAAATATCAAACGAATGCTTTTTATTAAAACTTAGCATGACGTCAACAAGAACAACAATGAGCACTGCACCTTTCGTCGCATCTGCTTTTCCAGACCGCCAACGAAAAACTTACTGCCACAAATTTTCGCACACATGCCGCCAACAAGCGCCCCAAAAACACTCGACGCATAATTTGCCGCCACGCTTTTGCACTTGTGCCACAAAGCAAATATTTACCATTCGGGGACTTGTGAAGGATTTTCATTTTGCGCGCATTATGCCTACAACTTTTTCACAATTCTACTTCCGACAGGACATTTTCATTTTGTCGTGCGGTTAGTAACGAAAAACTAAAAAAAAAATTAAAATTAGAAGTCTATTATATTATTATCTATGATTATTGTAATTTAATCACAAAAATATTGAAGGAATACCGTTATCAGTGAGAATTTACCAAGAAGAATTATTTCAAACTGTTAATAATAAAAATATATTTAAATACAAAAAAACTATGTATGGACTTACACGAAGAATTTTTGGCTCCTTTTTATTTTATAATTCCCTTAGAATGTCTTGCGTAGTCCCCAGGAAACAAATTAAATGAAAGAAACAGCCAAATTTTGGAAAATATAAACCAATTCCTGTACTGGAAGTAAGAACAAGAGAGAACGCTACAGTCGAGCAAGCCCGACAGTGAAATACCCTGTAGTCAGACAAGCTTCCGTCACTGAGTTATATGCGCCCATAGCAGAAGCAAAAAGAGGAAGAAGAAGAGCGAACTTTTTGCTGCTGTTTGGTGGGGTTGGACTGGAGAGAATTTGTTTCGCTAATAACTTTTCTTAGAATTGACAGATTCGGGTGAAATTTGAGAGAAAAGTAGATAATTATATGAATTATATTATATGAATATTTATATATAAAATAAAATAAAATCGTCCTTTCTCGGACCTAGGAGAATCTGGTTACCAAATTTGGTTGTTCCAGCTTTTATAGTTTCTGAGATCCTTGCGTTCATCCAGACAGACAGAAGGACCATCCAGACAGAAGGACGGACGGACATGTCTAGATCGCTTTCTCTCGTCGTGCTGATCAAGAATTTATATACTTTATGGGAATTTATATGCTTTGCACAAACCTAATTTACCCTTTTTACCCTACCGGTATAGGGTATAAAAAGGTAGTATTTAATTTAATAAAAATCTGTCTCAGAAAACGTATTCTTTTAGAAAAAATATCTTTTGGCCCAATTCATAATTCATTAACAGCTTCATCGGTTTTTAAACAAAATTTGGAGATCATTGTGAAAAGAACTGTGCAGCCAGCTTTAACCGTCGAGCTGACTTCAAAAGTGTATCTTGCAGTCACGTGTTTAATCCTTCAGGTGGATAAGGATATACGGTGGCGTTGTGCCACTCAACGATACAATTTTTTCCCTGTTTCCTGGCTAGTTTGTTGTTGCAGACAAAATTGAAAGATGACAGAAAGCGGCGTTTAAAAGGGAAAAACTTTGCCTACAGCAAAGCCATTTGCATAATGCGCCAATGCTAAGTGTCTTGAGGCATAAATAGAAATTAAATACTTCAGTAAAGCTCTCCAAAAACTTGCCACACTTGCCAGCAACTTAAAGTTGGTGCTGAAGCAGGGGCCTGCGGCCATATCGACACACCTGCTCTGCCACCTGACTTGCCTGCAACTGCACAACTGCAATTGAAAGTGACTCGTAATAATCGAAATCAAACACTCAAAAGCCATTCAACAATTTCCATTTGCAATGAAAAGCCAGTCAGTTAACCGAATAGAAGAGGAGAGGATTGGAAAAGGGGGAGGCCCATAGGGTGGACCTGGCTGATTGCAATGTGCGCTTCACACTGTGGCACACACACAAGTGTTTTCACACAAAAGCGCACGAGCGTACATAAAATAGTTGCGAAAAATATTTTCGTAAGAAAACAATGCATTCAATTTTTGGGTAAAGGAGTAAACCCCTGAGTGTCCGGAAAGCAATTCGTTCGAAACGATCATTTGCCATGGGTTTGAATTTGAATTAATAGGATTAGAAATGACTGCCGCTGGAATTCAATGGTTTTGAAAACGAAATTAAAGTGCCTTTTACCATAAAATTAAATGCAAATGTTGATTTTTCAGCTCTCCTTGTGGGCTCTCTCTCTCCTTCTGTCTCTCTCTCTCTCTCTGCCAATAGTCAAGGCGAGTCGTGCGTCTAAGCACATGCCGCCCGAAAGGGCTGGCTCTAGGGTTGCACGCATACTCGTAGCAGCATGGCAGCTCTGGCAACTTGAAATAGGAGCAATCTGATTAGATGATATGCTGCCTGGCTGGGTAAAAAATATTGTGGCTATAGCAGTATTTTAATTATCGCAAGTCCCCAGGGCACTGTTTAACTAATTGCCGTTGTGCCAAAGGAATGTGTTGGTATGATGGAAGGGGAAGGGGAAATGTGGTGGGGGGAGGGGCGGTGTGCTGTGACACGCGCAACAATTAAACTATGCCTCCTAAGCCCTGGCAGGAAGCTAATGAAAAGGCAAAGCCAAAACTACGAGACAAAAAGCCCAGACACACACACACACACACAGCAACAATGACAACAATACGCACAACAGACCAATCTTATCGGACGGCAAGTGTAAAAAGTGTTTCTTCTTTTTTTGTGGCTCTGGCAGCTTGGGTAATCAGAAAACAAGTGCAATTTTGTGGGATGCCTCCCTGTTACACCCTTCGCTTTTTCGAAAGAGTACATTAGTTTTGCGCTGATAGCTTGTAATACATAGAGAAGGGAATATTGTAGTTTAAACGAGGAGAAATTTGTGCAGAATCTAAGCGGCTCTTACGAGATTAGATTAGAAAGCTAGGTTACAATAATTTCTCTACTTAAATAATTAATTTGCATTCAAATTTTAGCCTGTTGAGGGCTCTC